ATTTTAATACGTTTAATAAGTATTCATTGCTAAAATTTCTTACTTTCTTTTTTTTTGTAGTTTTTTTTCTTCAATAATTAAATGAAAAAAAAAAGCAATAAAAGAATGAAAAGTGACGAGAAAGAAGGAGAGAGAGAGAGAGGGAGAGAGAGAAAATATGGAAATGAATTAATTTTATTTCTGTAAAAAATAAACAATTGAGGTAAAAAAAAAAAGAAAAAGAAAAATATTTGTCGATAGCGATCAGTTACAAATGATACAATGAATTATTGTTGCAATTTTGATGTATTATAATGATTGCATTAGGAATAAAAAAATTTCAAAATTTTTTGAGTAATGTGTTCAATTTTAAAAAATTATCTAAAAAGTCTAAAAAATCAGAGAAATTTTTTTTCTTTTTTTTTTTTTAATTTTGATGAATTTTTTTTTCATAGCAATTAAGGATTAATGATCATAGAATATAAATAATATAAATGATATTTAGGACTATAATTTTTAATGCCAACAATGATTTATGTTAACTGTCAAATATAAATGAAATGTCAATATTAAAATTCTAAAAAATTTCAATCATCAGATAAATTTTATTATTTTTTTTTTTTTTTTTTTTAATTAACTTACTTAAATGAATTTGTTTTCTTCATTTTTATCATTTCAATGCTAGTAAATTAATTAGATTTGAAAATTTTCATCATAATATATAAGATTTTAAAGGAAAATTTTTAATAATAAAGAAGAATTGAATGCTTAAATTGCAAGGAGAATAGTTTCTCGTTGATGAATCATTCAGTATTTCCGGTATGATACAGTCTAGCAATGATATTTTAGCAAAAGCTAACCGGAAATAAAAAATAAAATGTAAGAACTGAGATGGAAATTTTCTCAAATCTTGACAATCAACAAATTTTAGCCGATTCTTATTTCAGTACTCAGTATTTATATTCATATTCGTATTTTTTTTTTTTTTTGGGGGGGGGGGGGAGGGGTGGGGGGATGGGGGGAAGAGCGCTTTTATATTTCTGAAACACTGTTGACCTTTCAACATGAATATGCAAAAGGTCATAAAATTTTCTTCAACTTTTGTGCATGGAAAATAAATTTTATTTGGAAATCGAATAATCATTTTAGATAAAATGAAGAGGAAAGAAATTGGAAATTTAATAACTTTGAAATACTGCTAAGCTAAATTGAACTGTAATGGATTTAATTAAATAATAATAATGAATAATAACAATAATAATGAATAATAATTAATAGTGATAACAAAATTAATAATAATATCAATAAAATTATGGTGATAATTATAATAATAATTAGTAATAATATTGATTAATAATAATAATAATAATAATAATATAATTACCAATATTAAAATATTATTTAACTTTTAGTCGCTTGACTTCGCTTACTTTGTTTAGTTTATAAATAACAATAAAATAAAGTGTTTTCATCCTCCATTTAATAATTAATTCATAAAAAAAGTTATTAATTATTCAATATTTCAACAAAAATATGCCTAAATTTGAATTTATAAATTATATTAAAAATCGTTTAACTAAAGTATTAATGAATTTTGCAGGAAAAAAATAAAATTGTATTATAACAGATGTCATTTATATATTGAAATATAACATCCTAGTTGAAAAGTTGCTTTTACGAGAGAAAAAAAAAATATGAGAAAAAAATTTTTTTTTTAATAATTTAATTTTTGATTTTAATTATTGAAATGGAAAAGAATTATAAAGTAGAAAAGAAAAAAGAATGAAGAAAAAAAAAAAAAAAAAGTGAAAAATTGATCATTTCGCAGGAATAGTAATCACATGAAAATAATAAATTCCGGAAAAGCAATTTTCAGTAAATGAAAAAAATGGCTCAAATTACAATTTATATTTCATCATTTCATATTGTTTTTGTTTTAGCAATCAAAACCTGTTTCAATTTTGCACTTTTTCCTCAAAATCAGTCACTAATTTAAAATTCACTGAAACAAAAAAGAAAAGAAAAGGAAAAGAAAAAAAAAAAAAAAAAAGCATTTCTATGTTGAATTCACAATAAATTTATTTTTTGCTAGAAAAATTTCAAATCAAATCAAAAAAAAAAAAATAATTGCTGATAAATTATGATAAAGAAAAAGTTATTCATTTGATAGTAAAATGATTGTAAGAGAAGTAAATAGTATTAATAACTTATTTTGTAAAATATTTATGTTTATTTTTTATGTATGTAAAATATTATCACTTATAATCATTAACAGTTAATCTAATATGTTTACCATTACAGACCTTATTTTAATCAATGCTTCGCGATAGAAATTAAATTAAAAGTGAAGAAATATTCGAGTAAATAAGATTACGTATGTCTAATCAGTTTTGAATAATAAACTAAAAGAGGTATCGAATCTGTGTCTTATCTTATCTAAATCAATTTATGTTGATAAGAGAAAAATTCTTTCATACAAATTCCAAAATGATAATACTCAAATAATTATCTGAATTGATTTAACTGTAATAGAAAATTTAATTATTCGATTTAATTGTAATAATGGAAAATCAAAATATACTTATCACTTGAATTATCCATTATCACTATTATCATTTTTAGCAAAAATTGCTTCATTATTCAAGTGATAATTATTACCAATGAAAATGTTGCTCAAATTTAAAAGAAACTATACGAATTTGATTATGATAAAGTAGTACGTTTAAAAATATAAAATGAAATTGGATTAGTTTAACAGTAAAAAGAGATAAGGGAAAAATATGAATTTTAAAAATTTACGTTAAAAGTCGTTTTTTTTTTCAAAAAAAAAAAAGAAGTTGTAAAAAAAAAATGTCTAGACAAAAAGATGAGTATTTGAAGACAAAAGAAAGAAATGATATTCCCGAGGTTTTTTTTTTTCCTTTTTTTTGGGCAAATATAGATTAAAATGAATGGGTAAGATTGAATATCAATCAGAAGAATTTTTTCCTTTATTTATTCTTTATACAGGTTTTTGTATGAAGAATTCAAATGCGCAATCGTCACAATAGAATAGGCTGTAAGAATAATTCAAATGCGCAATCGTCGCAATAGATAGGTAGTGATAAAAGAGACAAAAATGATTTCACTGCTTATATTATGTAACATAAATGAAAAGTTATATTTTTATCAATTCCAATTGACATAGGATAGGTGACACAAAAATCATATCATATCAATTGAATATTGATATGATATAAAAATTATGATTTTTAGTATTGATAATATCCAATAGCAGAGAGTAAAGGATGCTGTCTATATAAGTTAGCTAAGTTTAACTCTTATCACCTGATGCAATTTCATCAAAAAGCTAAAAAATTAAAATTAAAAAAGAAGAGATTTTTGAGAATGAAATTTTTACGTTGTTTAATTTTATGATAATATTATTTCTTATATTTCATATATGCTATTTTAGGATGATAATAATATATCGTTTAATGATAATTAAATCTATTACAAATGAACAATCATAGGAAAACAAATGCTTTTAAACTTTATTGTAACATATTTTCAAACTAGTTTAGAATATATGAAAATATCCAATGTGAATGTTAGTTGTCTTTCACATTTCATCTTGCATATTTAAATAACTCTTTTGATGCAAACATATCGTAAAAGATATAAATAATGAAATATAAACTCTTTCTAATTGTGTTTTAATAGTTCAAAGCAAATAATTAATAAACGACTAAAACACTTGTGTTACACTATCATTAAACAATAGTTTCAATTTTATTACATAAATTAAATTGATCACAAATAACAGACATGTATCATAGAATTAATTTGATCTTATAATCTATGTGAGAGTAATGTCATCTATACAAAGATGCCTAATTAAGTATCAGCTGATATTATCAGTGCCTTTTATCAGTAAGAATAATTAGCTAGATGATAAAAGGTATAATCATCAGTACTATTTGATGAGATTCACATTTAACAATAAAGTCCAACAATATTGATAATAATTTGCTGAAACATGACAACATCTCAAGTCATCATTGGAATAAATGATAGAGCATTTCCTGGCTTATAGTATTTCTGAAATATAAGAAAGTAAAATTTAATTTGTTAAAAAAGATAATATTTAATCAATTAATCATCATTTAGTAGAATCGATCAAAATGAGTTATACTGTTTGTGTTATAAATTAAATTGCAAAGTTTTCATCCAAAATTATTGTGAATTGAAATTTTGCTATGCTATCAATTACTGGAAATAGTGAAGAGAATATGTAAATTGCGGGGGAAATACGGTTGCAAACCGGCAAAATGTTTGCTAATAACGATTAGGAATGCAAGTCGTACCTTGTGAAAGATCTTAATCACTATATGTATATTTTTTTTTTTTACAGTGCATAAAAATATATGAAATGTAAAGTTTATAAATAACATTCAAAAAAAAAAAAGAGAACGACAAAAAAAGACAAAAAATATTGTATTAACAGATATACAGATTGTAGCATTATTTGATTTAGATTTATGCTAAAAAGTGCTAATGAAAAAATATACCCGAAAAATGGAAAGACTATGTTTCCGAAGTATTACAGAAGAAAATAATATTCGAAAAACTTATTTTGCTGATCAATTGATGAATTAGACTTTTTACTTGCTAATAACATTCACTGAGAGTTTAGTTAATCACATAATAAAACAGTTTTGGTAAAAGTGAGAGACAAGAACAAATTGAAAAATACCATAGTATATATATATAAGGAAACAATAGTTTATGTTACCAGTATCAAAAATTTTTAACTTGCAATACTGTATCTCTACCAATTTTAAAATCTATAACTAGAAATAAATCTAAAAATAATATAAGCAAATGGGAAAAAATCTATCCGAACCAGATTTTACAATAAATATTTGTTTCAATGGAACAATAAATTATAAATTGAAACGGAACAATAAATTATAATACATTTTAACAATAAAATAATGTACATTATTTTCAAATAAAGAACTAAAAGCTCATATTATAACTCATTTCAAATTAAAATTCTTAAAAATGTTAAGAAAACGAGGAAGGAACTCCGGTGAATGCTGACGGCTTGCATCTTCAAGAATACATTGGAAATCATGCTCAGACATACGACTTGACGGTGAGGCAAAAGCCGAAAAATCACGAAGCATTTCTTCCAAATCACTAAATGATGAGATTGGTCTCAAAGGCGTTGAAACATCATATGCTTCATCATAATAATTATCCCTATACCTTACCATATACCATTCATCTTCTTCCTGAAATTTTAAAAGATTTGCAATTTATACATTACACTACACTGAATCAGTAAATAAAGGTTTGCAAAACAATTGCTATCAACATAAAACATTATTAAAATATTTAAAATCACTCTTTTAGACATATGCTATAGTGTAATATAAAAGAAAAATTATAAAATTTTTTCATACAAATAAATTTTGCAAAGACAATGATTAAGAAATGAAAAAAGGAAAGTAATTCTAAAGTTATAACCGTTCTCTCACGTTCCGCCCAACAAATCTGTCTAAGATCTTCTTCCAAAACAACTGCCACTTCGTTAGTTAGTGTATGATATCCTGGCTAAAAATCAATTAAATTATCAAAGAACTCTGAAGAATTCAATTATAACAAAATATCATTTGAACAACTAAACTGAGGTTTAGCAACGATCAGTTTTACTGGAACAGTTTCATATATAGGAAAGCTAGCATAATTATATTCAACATTAGCAAATGGATGTAGAAACTGAATTGTGATCGCAAATATGGAAATATTAAAAAACCACTGAAGGTAAACCTTCGGAACTGAATTGGGATCATTCACAATATTGCTGAGAAGTAGAAGATTAGCAAATGGATTAAGCGGTTCAATTAATTTTGAATCAATTCCTAGACTCAAGCATAGCATTACAACTGCACGATTCAATTTGAAAATGTCCGTATCGAATAAGCCTTCCGTCCATTTTCTGCACGACGAAAATTCTTGATATGATATCTAGAACAGAATTCTGAAACCCATTAAAAAGTATTTAATATTTTCAAAATTTTGTTTAGGTCGGCTTGAAGGGCAACAATCACAAAGTTATCTCGTCATATACCTACTTTGTCACTGGCCAAAGAATAAAAATGGAAAAAAAAGTATATATATAAGTCTGTAAAAATCTATCAAGTGACCTAAATTTCAGAAGAAAAAATCCAGAAATGATAGAAAATAAGAAACCACCTGGTCTGGTATGCATACATCAAAATTAACGGTTAGTAAATTAACAAGCTGGATAGTATAAACAAATGCAGCGAACATGCTATGCACTGGTCGGGCAACAGGTACAGTTGGAATGCCTATGCTCAGCCATCCTTTCAAAATTTTGTATTGCGTTCGATCCGGTGCGTCACAATCACAAATCTATAACGCTCTAATATCATTACATTACAGCATAAATATTTAAAACGGAAAAAAATTATGCTATAAGGATTTAAATCTTGATAATAACAGTATAAATGTACTGTGCAAGGTTATTTCATTAGAAACTTTTTCTTTAAATTTTTCAATCTAAAAACTTTTCAATAGTATTTAAAGGTATAATGTAAAATGGTTAAATCTAAAATGAGACAAAACACAATGAAACCAAATTTACCGTGTAACAGTGTTCCGAAGAAGTTGCACATTCTGTTGGAGCCAGGATTTCGTCCGTCGGTGGGGAAAATTCTTCTTGACTGAAGAGAACGTTGTTAAATTGTTTTGTACATTTTTTTTTTTTTTTTTTTTGCAAATATATAAGGGAATAATCCTAAATTAGAGTTTTTATAATTAATAAACATGAAATCAAGTTCATTTACCATGCTTCAGCAATCATTTCCCGACAACGTCGTTCCACTTCATCTATGGTTGGTTCCGGTTTTAAGACTCGTTGTATAGGAAAAATTTTTACAAACCACTGTGCATTGAATTTTATAATTTTTTGCAACTAAATTGATTTCTATTAGTCCTTTTCTTGTATTTTCTTTCTGGATTTATAAGCACTTAGTTTAATATAAATCTAAGCAGGAACTGTTAAAAGTAAGCTTACATTTGATAACGATAAGTAAGGAATTCAGTATATTTTAAATGGCTAATGTTAAACAGAAATGATCACACGAAGAGAAATTGTTTCGAAACATCGTAGAATTTTCACAAAAGCATAATTTTCGAAATAAATTCCTGTAAAAGCCATCACCTTATCCTCATATGCATCGACAAATGCTTGTAGTGAATTTGGTGGTCCACAAAGAACTTTTTGATGTCCACGACATCGTTCCTATAAACTTGCTTTAATTCGTGTAAGAAATATTTTAACTAAATATTTTTATACACAGAATGAGGAATGCCAAAATAATATTAAATAAAAGTGAACAGCAAATTTTACATTTTTATAAGTTATGAGTAAATTGAGAAGCTAGATGTTAGACATGAGAAAAAGGACCTTAAGCTCTTCAATTGTTTTGCGATATCTTTCGGTTTTGCTGCACATAATTTTCAGAGCAGCTTTCTTCTTTTTTATAGCTTTCCTCCTGTCAAGAATATTTTGTTTCAAATATTCAATGGACTCATGCGTTGAATGCAACTCATCGCCTAGAGAAATCTAGAAAATCACGAAAATTATAATCCAGGTATTTTAACTAATATTTAGATATTATTCACAAAAGAATTCTTCGAGAAAAAAAAGACGTAATAGTAGATGCTACCAAGTCTTTTTTGAAACTAACATCAGCTGCAAAAATACTTTCGATTTCACGAGTGAAACATTGCTTCCTGTATTCTTTTTTTCTTTGCAAATTATGCTTATCAACAAATCGGACTGAAAATGGCATTCCTCATATATACAGTCAAAAATTTTTTGTTAAGTAAATATTCGTTATGCAATTATTGAATGAAGTTTTTATCAATTCTGAATAAGATAAAAGGAATTTCCGGTTAAAATAGCTTTCGCCTAAAAGACATAAACTTGTTCTTTGACATTGTTAGAAAATGAAAAGGAACAAACTTTTATGGTTGACACAACTCCTACATAGGCATAACATTTTGTTGCTACACATCGAACATGGATATCTATCACCTGTCCAATCTGTTGAGTTACTGTAAGTTAAAATTTTTGGATAACAAACGCTAAAAATTATTTTTAGAATAATAACCCAAGAAATAGCGAACGAAACAGGATCAAGCAGAAGTCATCTCCTACAAATGGCGTTAACTGTTAATCCTGAAAACTGTAAACAAATAAAGTGATAACCTATCAGTATCCATTCCTGAACTGCACATCGGTGAGTTAATACGCGTGTATATACCCAATGGTGTTATCTTATCTATGGATGTATCAATTAAACCTCTGCAATTCACCAGCTCACTGATATCTGTGAAACACCTCATCGCTTTCCGTATTTCTAGAAAATTTCATTGTAAATAACGCGATCCATCCTCACATACTTCTCTCCCATATTTTATTTATTTCGCCGATATAAGTGAAATTATATGTGTAGTTCGAAATGAGAAATATTTTGAATATATAGGGAAAAGATGACATTTTATTAATGCAAATAACAATATCATATTCTGGAAAAGTAAATCTATAAATTTTAACTTTTTCAGAAAAATTTTTCATGTAGCCTTTTCAATCTAATCAAATTTTATTTCTTTATAATGAATATATACCTGGAGTAGGTGTTGAGATAGGATTTGTAGCAAAGTTACGTGGAAGATTAGTTTCTGTATCCATCATCCACCATGTTTTCTTATCCGATAACATTTTATGATTATACTGGGAAATTCTGAGATCTTTAATAGAAATTATTCATTCTCATTATCACTCAGTCACGCTAAAAATCCATTAAAAAAAAATAAATAATTTAATCGCAAATCAAAAAATACTTAAAACTGAAAAGAAATGAAAAAGTAATCAATGGATATCATAAAATGAACATATCACTTCATATCAATCAAATCAATATGTGATTATAAGTGATATGATGGAATGCTTTTAAAGAGATAACAGGGATTAAAAACACTGATAATAGAAGATATGGGAGGGAAGAAGAGGGAAAGAAGGAGAGAGAGAGAGGGAGAGGGAGAAGAGAGAGAGAGAGGGAGAGGGAAAGAAGTTGACAGACGAAGGTTAACAATTCGTGCCCGTTAGAATAAAAATGTACAATATCAAAGCAATTCAAAACATTCCTTCTGGCAAAATGCCCAACAAAGTGTTTTGAATTAGTATTGATCAATGAGTAGTGTTCGGCTTGCTTGCAAGGAGATAGAGGTGACAGCTCTCTTTTAACATTGTGATACTTTTTGTTGCTATCTGTTCGCTAGTGATGTCACCAGAATTGGTAAAACCCTCGATCGTATCACCAGGACGAGTGAAACTCTCGATCGTGTCACCAGAATGAATGAAGCCATCGATCGTGTCACCAGAATGAGTGAAGCCATCGATCGTGTCACCAGAACGAGTGAAACTCTCGATCGTGTCACCAGAATAGCTGAAGCTATCGATCGTGTCACCAGAATTGGTAAAACCCTCGATCGTGTCACCAGAATGAGTGAAGCCATCGATCGTGTCACCAGAACGAGTGAAGTCATCGATCGTGTCACCAGAATGAATGAAGCCATCGATCGTGTCACCAGAATGAGTGAAACTCTCGATCGTGCCATCAGAATGAGTGAAACCCTCGATCGTATCACCAAAATGAGTCAAGCCCTAGGTTGTGTCGCCAGAATGTATCAAATCCTCTATTATTCCGCGAGGATAAGTCAAATTCCCGATAGATACTGTTACAAGAGTAATTCTCTAATGGTACTTAAACGAATGAATTTCTGATGACTATGAGAGTGACAGAGATAACGATTATTAAAACTTTTTGCGTGTTATATTTGACATACAGCTTATTTTTCTTACAGATCTATTATCTCTTGTAAAAATTGATGTGTTCGATGTGAATGACAGCGTAATAAAATGGATAAGTTGAAATCGTCAAATCTATCAAAAGTGTTATTAATTGGCGATGTAAACGACAATTTACTTGAGTCACTATTGGGTAAGTATCATATTTCATCGAAATAAGTGTGCAAATTCATCAATAGTTTTAAAAAAAGCAGAAAATTTTTGCATTTTTTCTCATATTTTCTTTACGACTAAATCTATCATTTGCATGTTTTTATGTGTCAACAAAATTTAAACACAAAACAGCAGTTCCACACATTGATGCATTTCTTCTCTTTTTTTACGTCTCATCGACTTAGTAAGTTGAATCTATGCATGCAAAATGACATAAAACGTATTAAAATGTATTAAAAATGCAAATTATGTTTTGTGATATTACAGGAAATAAAAATTCCACGTTGAAACGAAAGAGTGAACTTCTATTGGATACGAAATATTACGTGGCTCGCTTGAAGTTAGTATCGTTGAAGACAGTTGAAAAGATTAATGAATGGAAGACTTCCACACTGAATGTAAACGTTGGTGCTATTGTGTATAATTATGATGGAGAATTCCGTTCAATGGAGCAGTTGAAACAACAAATGTCTACATGGCGAGCAGAAATTCAAGTATATTGATTCAAGTGTAAAAATTATTTAGAAATTAATAGCTTGAAGTTTTTGAGAATATTGAATTATTGTAAAATTTCATCTAAATTCCACCATAAGTGGACTTTGTATGTTGTGAAATTAATAGATTTACCTTTTGTCTGCTAGTCTAGATCTAATCATTATCTGTAGGTCACTGTTTGTAAACGTTTGGAGCGTTCGGCGGATTGGTCAGAAAATTTATATCGCTTTTGTGCTGATGAACAGATAGAGTTGGTAGAACTTGACCCGGATGCTGTAAGTCGAGTTTAATTATTAATTGAAACGTATGTAGTATGTATGAGTTCGAAACTCTTCAAAATTTTATGACAGTAATTCGAAAGGGCTCTATCACAGATATAACTTTTATTTGAAATTTAAACACATGGGTAAATGTTGGCTAAAGAGACAATACATTTTATGCTTTTCAGAGTGCTTAGTTGACATCATTAACGTAATATCAATGTAAGTTAGTTCGATTTGTAAGCTAAAGTTGCATTGGAGGGATGACATTTACTTTTATTTAGTATGAAATGTAAGGTAAGGAAAGGAAAACTTTCTATTCTCTTTATACATATAGGTTTTCAGGAAACAATAGAAGAGTTAAGTGAATATCGTGAACTTTATGGAGTGCCTCGTATAAGACAGGTTAGCTTTTATGGTGATTTGTTATGATAAATGAATTATGAGAATGAATTTATAGTCGAATGAGAACTATGGAACTGCTTTGTGATTGATATATTCTAGATTCCTGTGATCTTTATGTAGTATTATTGCCTAATCTTTATGTATTGTTAATAATTTTGAGAAATTCATTACTAAATTCATTGCATTACTTTTCCGTTGGATATTGCGTTTAGATCTTAGAAGCTGGAAGCTGGAGCGATAAGACAATGAAGCTGAATCCGCTTGAATCAAATGAACAACGAGATTTTAAGAAAATTGATCACCCTATTAATAATTCTGCTAAAAAGTCTTCCAAAAATTCTTTTGGTGATGAAGAGTTCGGATCAGATGGTTGTGATATGACAAATGAGGAAAAAGGTGCTTTTAATAGACATTAATAAGATGTTAATAGCTCTATATATTTGTCATTCTATTAATAGATAACTTCCTTCGATGCCACTTTTACTAGAAATTCTGAGGAATTATTTTTCAGAAATGATATTGAAGTTGTTTGGAAGACCAAAGGTATTATTTGATAGTGTGATTAAAGATGCAGATATTCCGGATCGTGCAGTTATTGATTACTTCAAATTAGAAGCGGAAAAATCCAAAAGACAGAACAAAGTAGCTGCCAGCGTAAGTTTCCTGAAATATTGTTCTCTTTCTTCATATCCTCAATGGTTTTGACTTCATATGAACTTTTGTTGCTTTCTTAATGATATGTTCAAACTCTTTCTAATAAAAGGAAAGAAAGCATGAGTGGAACAAACCGAAAATTTTGTGTTTAAATTTCGAATTTTTTCTTCAAAATATTTTTTTTTTTTTTGATTTTTAAAGCAGAATATCGTATTTCTAGAAGAAGAGGAAGAAAAAGAAATCAAAAGTTACAACTACAAATGAATTTGGTGAATTTGTTGATGCGAAAAATTCAATGTCAAGCAATGTATTGATGCAAAACTCATCGAATACGAAGAACGAACAAATAGATGTTGATATACATATGCGCAGAGAGCAAGAACCGAGTGCTGGTAATTGCAAAAAGTCTCTAGAAAATCCCAAGAAAGATTCATGTAAATTAAATAGTGTTTCGCAATCAATGATCGATGAATTATTTGAGAAAAGTGTCGATGAACAGGGTGCAAATTTGGTCAATAAAATTCATGCAGTGATTTTTCATTTTCTTTGAATAGAAATTTAGAAATATTTGCAGCATATGTTTTCAACTTATTTGTTTCACTTTTTTCTTTTTTTATAGGAATACACAAAAGCTAATGAGTGACTGCTGCTCGTGAAAAGAAAATTTTTTGTAAATTAAGTATCAAATGAAATTTTTTTTTTTTTTTTTTTTTTTTGTAAGGCGTTACGTGTTTCAGTATCTTGTTGAGGTTTTAGAAAAGAGAATACGTTCCGAGTTATCATTGCATTCTTTAAAAAATTTAGGCACGATCAGCATTACTCAAAATGCCGTTTGGTCCAGAACGACAGAATTTAGCAGCTGATACGATGGCTGCAGTAATCAAATCAATTGGAGATAGTGATTTTTTCAACAGTTCTTCAGATGATGAACCACACACCTAGGATACTTCGACTTTTGTATAATTAATTCACTCATTTCACTTACTTTTTTTTTGTTGTTGCCTTGGTTATGTTTTCTTTTACAACTATAACTAATTGTTAAACATCAGTAAACAAAAAACCGGACGAACAGAATAAATGGAACGGTTTAACTACTGTCTATCGATAATCTTCTGTTGGAGAATGATAATTCTATATGCATTTAACCTGAAGCCAAGATAGAAGATACACTTTATAAGAACAGTGCTGGATGTTTTTTTCGTTTTCAACAGTTTTTTTTTCAATTAAGTTACAGTTGCTGTTTTGAATTTCCATGGACTTTGACTCGATTTACTTTGATTTCTAATGAATATTATTCCCTGTAACATTTCCAAGTTAAAAATTTTTATTCTTTCATTACCATTGCAGAAACTGACTGTCATTCGAGATGAATCCTTTCTGTGATGGAAATGTTGGTATTCATTTATTTTTGCAAAACTTCACGTTGAATTGTAAATCAGTTTTTCTTAATTTCTAGTGAAGACTTCATTCTAGTCTTTGAAAGCTCTTCATAGCATTTGATTTAATATTCTTACGCTAGTAAGAGTCGAAGTAATAAATGAGACAAAAATATCACTAAATTTTTTGCCTAAGTAATATTGTCATGTGAGAATTTCATTTGAAACATGGATGGATAAGTAATTCTCGATTTTGTACTTTTGTAATTTTAACATGGATAACATAGACTGATGTTACTAAAATGATTTATTAAATTTTTTTCTAAATTACTTGTTAAATTATTTATTAAAAACAAAATGTTCTTAAAAATATAACATGAACTTATTAAATCCATTTCATAGGATAACCTGGTCTTTTTTTTTTTTTTTTTTTTTTTTTTTTGTGCATTTGATGGATCACTTTTAGTTTTAGTTCCACGTTTTCTTCTAAAACATTTCGATGTTGGTTGTACCGAAGATATTTGGGAATGAAAAAGAATTTCATAACGGTAAAGAAAAATTAGAACTTAAAAATGCATTGGAATGGAAATCTAATCGAGAAAAATCATCGATGAATCACTGAGATATCATCAAGAAATTAAGCAATCGGAGATCTTTCCATATCAGATGGAATGTTGTAGTATGTCAAATTGAGGTTTCTTTGCAATTAATCTTATCATTACATTGATTAACAACGTATTATCAATTTTTTACTTCACATTTGAAGAATTATTGATGACAAAAAAAAAAAAATAGCTCAAATGAAATGAACATTGAGAGAAAAAATTTTCGAAATTTCACAATGATATATAAGTGAAGTATATTTTGCATTTTATAAGTAATAGGGAAGAAAAGTTGCAAAAAAAAAAAAAAAATGCTCAAATATACAACAAATATTGCCAATATGAAATTTCATTTTTAATAAATGAATTAATTCATTTCGAAAAGAGAATAATTATTACGATTTGTCAGCTACTGCTGTGAGTAATACTATACGAACATTTAAATTTATTCGGTAACATTAAATTTGTGCTATTTCATTACAAATTATTTTCTTAATTTTAAAAAATGCTAGATAGGCTTAGCTAAAAATTAATACCATCATTCACAATTTAAGTTTAACTAATCTAATATCACATAAAATCGTTTTTTAATTTGCTAAAATCTTCCGCAAATATTAATCGTCAAGCATTTTGAAATTTCTACAATTAAACAATTCTACGAACTGTTTAATTTCATATTTGTTTTGAAAATAAAAAAAAAAAAAAAAAAAAGCACTGAATTTTTCTTTCAGAAATATAATAAAATTCATTTATCTTTTTAAAACAACTAATTAGTAATATTTAAAATCACTTCAAAAAGAAAAAAAAAAAACAAACAAAATGGATAATTTACGTGTTAATGAATATTATAAGTTATAATAGAAAATTTAAGAGTATATTATAAGAAAAAAAAAAGTCATATAAAGTTAAACTAATCATTACTACAACACTGTTTCACTAATAATTTCAAATCATATGCAGCACGTGATACTGTCACAATACAATTAGCCATTGATTGTACAGCTGATACTGATAAATACTGAAATATAATTATTATACTTGTAATAATAATTTACTAATCAATCAATCAATCAATCAATATTTGGATTGATCTATTGAAAAAAAAAAAAAAAAAAAGGAAAAAGGAAAAATTGTTGTTTATTTGTTTAAATAAACAAAATAAAATATTATAATTCAATGAAATTTTTGAAGTAATAGAAAAGATAAAACAACAAACTTCATCAGCGGCATGCTTTGTAGCTTGAACGCATGTTTTCAAAACATGAAGCAATCGATCAGCTGCATGTTTCACTTCTTGGCTAACATTGACAGATGAAATACATTCCGCAATTGTATCAGCCATATAAATTAATTTATGTGCAGTAAGTATTATCTGTAAAATTTTAATTATTATTACTCAAATTAATTACTGAAAATAATAGCAAATAGTAAATATTTGAGTATTTCATTTAGATTATTAATTAAAAAAAAAAAAAAAAAAGATTATTTCATTTAAAAAAGTATTAAAATACATTTCAATATTTAATTCAAATAATTATGCATAATAATTTTCCATATATTGCGTCGATTTTCAATTCAAAAATAGAATTTAGAAAATTTATTAGATGATCCCAATTATTAATTTCAATCTTAAATAGCTGAACTACTCGACTATTATTAAATTATTATTAAAATATAAATTGATGAGAAAGGTTTTTTTTTCATAAAAAATGAAAAAATTGAAGTGATTATTGAAAGAATTAGGAATAAAAGCATATCAAAGCAATATAATCGATAGAATTGATAAGTAACAAAAAAAAAAAAAAAATGTGATAAAGTGATAAAAATGATAAGTGATAAGTAAAGAATTGAGATATTACCAGTTTTCCTTTCTGAACAAATTCATGTGGTGGCATTTGTTCTTCAATTACAGTTAAGAACTCTTCAATTGCCTTAGAAAGGAATTCAGTGTGTGCATCTAATTGTGGTGAATAAAATTCAATCAATTGTCTGTCATCTTTTGATAATGATTTTATCACCTGAAAAAATCATTTTGAAAAAGTCGAATTAAAAATAATTATGAATAATAAATGTTATACTAAATTTTCATACTTTAAATGAAATTTGCTAAAATAATTATCATATCAATTAACTGAAATGATTGTTTAGTGAATTAATAATTTAAAAATGATACTTATATTATAAATGTAATGAAAAAATTAGAGTAAAAAAATAGAACTAAATAGTTAAGTGAAAGTGAAAATTAATAAAATTAACAATAATCATTTGAAAATTATTATTATTGAGGAAAAATTTTAATTTGAAAATTTTAAAAAAAAAAAGAAATTAGTAGGAAAAAATATTCATGCATACCTCTGTATTTAGTAATGCTAATGGTGGTATACTTGTTATCGGTCTCATCCGATGACTTACGATACTATCATCACCTTCAGTTGTTGAATCCTAAAATTTGATGTGGAAAATTTAAAATTGAAAATAAATATGATTAATCAAAAAAAAAAAAAAATAAATAATAATGTCAAAATGATATCTGAATTAAAGAGATTTTTTAATTTAATTAATCCAATTTATGAATTTTAGTAATACATTTAAATGTAATAAATTAATACTAAATATCTTATTATTGTGTTGCGCATTTATTTTTTTTTTTAAAAAAAAAGAATGATTTTTAGTTTTGCTAGCATAAAAAATAAAAATAATATTTAATGTAACAATTATTTTTAGAAGAAATAAAAATCAAATCGAATTAAACATAAAACAAATTAGAAAGAAGATATTTTAAAAAAAAAAAAAATTTTTTTTCTTTCTTTTAAATTTAAAAAAACAAAAATATATGCTAAAAACAATCGTAGAAGATGCCAAATATCATAAATAAGTAAATAAAAATGACAATTAAACTATATAAGATGAAAAATATCAAATATTTTTAAATATTAAAGTATCAAAAGTATTACTTAATTTTTTTTTCTTTTTTGAAATTTTGTTAATTAGCATCTACCTGATAAAAGCTATCACGATCACTGATCACTGATTCTAAATCATCTTCTTCGAGAACATGAGTTTCCAGAATGGAATTCGATAATTGATGTGAAGTAGTCAAATCATCCGCAAATGTTACACGATTTTGTTTAGCAATTGTTGTAGTTGATGGACCAAAAGTTGTACGAGAAGTTAAAATTGATTGTGGTGTTTGTGAATCATTTAAATTTGAAATATTTATTAAATTATTTGATGTTCCTGTTTGCCTTTTTGAATCCAATCCAACTGATATTCTACCATTCGTTTCACAAATTCTATAAAATTTTAATCATACAATTTAAATTTTCAAAAATTATAAACAAAAGAAAAAAAATTTATAACATTTATTACTTATTAATTGGCAAATTTATAATTGACTGAAATGAAATTATTGAAAAGAAAATAGAAACGAAAAAGATATGAAAAGAGAGAAAAAATGAGAAAAGCAAAACAAAATAAAACAAAATAGCAATTAAAAGCGAAAAAAAGAAAAAAAAGAAAGAAATGATTAATTAAAAGTAAAAAAAGAAAAATTTACTAAAACTAAAAAAAAATGAGGTTATCTTTTCAAAAGGTTATAATAATTTAGCAATGTAATTAAATTTGAAATTAATTATCTTACCTTAATGAAGGATCATCATACGATTGATCAGTACTTGTTGTAATTTCATTGGAATTTAAAGAATCATTTATAGTATTCGTTAAGAAATGAACAGTTGACGATGGTACCATCAGTAATGCCCATTGTATCAATTTGCAACAATCGATTGGTAACTGAAATTTAAAATTAATTAATTGAAAAATATAAAATTTAAAGAATCGCTTATAGTATTCGTCAAGAAATGAACATTTTCACAAATGGTATACTATCAGTTTTTCAAAAATACAATAATAAAATTTTCGATAAAATAAATTTCAAAAATACAATATAAAAATTCTTGATAGAATAAAGAAGAAATTTTAAGAATTATATTTGAAAAATCCAGAAAAAATTAGAAATTATTCGAATTGAACAATCATTTATTTACAAATTAAAGCATTAAGAATATTTATTTAGGTATTATTTAAAAAATATATAAAACAAATTAATGATAATTAAAGAGATACCTGTTTGATAACAGCAAGAAATTGATCCAAAGCGTCACTACCTGGTGTTGTACCGTAAACGTTACGTGGTCGTGACAGAGCACTAAGCGTCCAACCGGTATTGTCCAAATTTTGTTTTAATTGTGTTATAATAGCAGTAGAGCTTTTCAGTGGTAAAAGTAATTGCTTCAATTCTGAAAATTAAATAATTTCAAAATTTGCTCTCTTTGAAATTATAATTTCTTGGGAGAAAAAAAAAAAACTTTGAGATATTTGATGCTTTAATAACAATTTTGAGCCTTTAAGTTTTATATTTTTTTTAAATTCAATTATTTGATTTATTATTACAGAAACAAGAATGAAAAAAAAAAAAAAATAAATATATATAAGCAAAATGAAAATTATATGATATAATAAAATTAAATAAAATACAAAAGAAAAAAAAAAAAACGAATCATTGTAATAAAATTTAAAAAAAAAAAAAAGAAAATGTTAAAATTTGAAAATATATTATTTCAATTTTTTGAATTATCGTTGATTACATTCTATCGTAGAAATATTAATTGCTCATTTATTAATTTATAAAGCTAATTGTATTAGTACTATTTTAAACATTAATAATTTTAATTTAAATTATACAATAGCTATGAATATCTAATCTTATCTTAGGGAAAAGTTATAAAAAAAAAAAAAAAAAAAAAAAACTAATTTAAAATTTAAATAATTTAAAATGAGAAAGGAAAACAAAAGAAAAAGAATAAAGTACAGTAATAAAATTAAAAAAAAAAAGAAAACTTATACAAATAATTAATTTATCAAAAAAATTATTACCTTCTCCTTTTGGATTAGTAATGTCAACTATAATATGACATGCGACATTAAGAAAATAATTCATTGAAATTGTAATCATTTCTATGTATTCTTTAATATCAAAAATATTTTGTTGCAAAATATGCGGTTGTCGCCATGAATTTGTCGCCGTAAACTGTATAATTTAATTGAAATTATTATTTAAATTTAAATATTTCACAATAATTTAAATTATATTTTAGTTAATTTTTTTTTTTTTTTATTTAAACAAAATTGAAAAAAAGAAATTTTTCTTTAATTTTTTTGCTTTTTTCAAAAGATTTAACATATAAATCATTTGAATTAATAGCAAATTTTTTTTTTTTTTCGCTCAATTTTATTATTTCTATTTCAAAAAAAAAGTTTTTTTTTTTTTTTCATTTCATTTGATTATTTTTTAATTTCTTTTTTAATTAATAAAAAAAGAAATTAAAAAAAAAAAATTTTTTTGTAGAAAATAAATAAAAGAAAAAAGAATAAACCTTATCTAATTGTTCAACGCTATTTTCAATATTTCGATAATATTCAACAAGTTTTGAGCAAATAATTTGTTTCTTAATATTTTCCTCATTTGTTGAATTATTTCCATTGCTACTAAAAAATATTTCCATTATTTATTTAAATACATTTCATAAATTTCTATTAAACTTTTTTCTTCAAATTATTTTAATAAAATTTTTCGACAACAACAACAAAAAAAATTAATTTAATTAATATTTCCTGAAAAAATTTTCATTTTGTTTATTTTTTTTTTTTTTTTTAATTTGGTTTTTTAATAAATCACTTATTTGTAGTTTGTTTGTTTGTTTGTTTGTTTTTAAAGGAAGAAAAATTGATTTTTCACTAATTATTAATTTAATTTTTTTCTCTTTTTTTTTAAAAAATCAAAGTTTGCATTATTCAACTTTTTATGTTTGTGTAAATTTAACATCAATTAAACCTATTTTTTTTGTTTTTTGTTTTTTTATGATTTAAATGAATCAATGATTTCATGTGAAACAATCTTTAGCTAAAAATAAAAATTTTATTGAATTCATTGAATTCATTTTTTTTTTCTCTGATATCAATGAATCAACTTAATCCTTCTAAAATTCAAAAAAACCTTTTAGATTTAACATATTGTAGTGGTGCTAAATTTAAATTAATTTTTAAATGTTTTAAAGGTTTAAAGTTTTTTTTTTAACCAAACTAACCGTTTCAAAAATTTCATCTAAATTAAATATTTAATTAAAATATACCTTTTTACCTTTTTCAATTCTCACTGAGAAAAATTAGCTTAGTGACAGATGCATGAATAAAGTTGAAATCAACCGAACATAATAATTTCCTTATTCCGAATAGAATTAAAACTTTCCGGAAATACAAAACTTTAAAAGACTCTTTCATCTCTTTTACCTTTCCAAAGAACGACGTTGATTTATTAATTCAGGTGCGATACTTTCACTGCGTTTGAAATGATCATTCGAGGTAAATTTATTTCCATGCATACTTTCAGGTGGTATTGATGAGCTCCTGAAATGTTTTTCATTTTTATCAGAAATTCCGGAAATTTAGTCACTTTTGTTTGCTATGTCTTAAAGCTATCTTTCTTAAATTTCTTCCGGTATTGCAACTTATTCAGATTGAAATTTCAAATTAACACTTACCTATTTCCTATCCTGCTATTAAGTAATTTAAAAAAAAAAAAAAAAAATATCTTGACACATGAATAAATGTAACAATTCAAAGTTTTAAACTAGTTATTTTGAGGAATTATTCGTTAATTATTTATTTCAAATTTAAAATAAACAAAGAAAATTTTATGAGAAAAAAAAAAGAGAAATTTGTTACCTATGCATAAAATCTCGTTGATTATTCAAATTGAGTGAAAGATTAAATCGTTGCTCTGTACTACCGGTCATTTTCAGATCACCTGGACATGTGACAGTGTTACAATTGATGAAATTATCTTGTAAAATAGATTTACTGTTTGATTCAGCTTTTTCGTCTAATACTGTCATCAGTGGATTAGATTGTTCAAATTGTTGACGTTGAGTTAGAGCTATTCCTTCCATATCATTGAAATGATCTGCTAATTGTTGCTGATCTTTTGGATCATCGATCCGTGATCGATATATTCTTCCCATACGTGAAGTATCATAATTAGATTCAATTAAATCTGATGATTGTTCACATGATGATAGTGATGATGTTGCTGATGTTCGCTGAAAAGTTTATCAGCAAAATGATCACTGATCGCTTATCAAATCAATGATTGAAATCGATTAGATGATTTCATATCGATCAAATGTTTTCATAGTGATTTCATAACATAAATCATAATATTATTTTATGGAACAAAGAAAAAAACTATAAATTTTTTTTTTTTAAACAAAATTATTCATTTTATTATTAATCATAAAATGAAATCATTATTAAGTTTAAACATGTTTATCGATCAATTATGATTATAATTTGTGTTAAAATTAAAAAGAAATTTAGAGTAAAAAATAAATAAATAAGAAGAAAAAGAAGAAATAATCTGAAAATAGAAGAAATAACCTGATTACTTTCACCATTAGAATCATTCATATCGGCAACAATTCCGGAAGATGATGGTGATGAAGAACTGAGCTCATCATGTGGAATAATTGTTGTATTAACAATAACAGCACTATCCGATTCAGATTCATTACCTGAACAACAATTATTTTGTACATCAATGGTACCAGCTGTACCGGAATTCAAATTTGTTGACCATTTAAGGTTAGATTTTTTTGAGACAAAATTTTTGCCTGTAGCAAATTTTGTTGGTGATGATAACAGTGATGATGATGATGAATCATCCATTGAGGTTGTTCCTGAAAAAGAGTAAAAAAATATTTCAAAAAATAATAGCAATGAAAATTTGAAAACAAATTTAAAAATAAAAATTACATAAGCATAAAGCTTTAATTATCTTTATTCAAATTCAAAAACTTAATTAGATGATTTCAATACCTATCAAATTATCAAAATTATTTTTGAAGCAAATAATTTTTATATAATGCTGACTAATTAATCACTAATTAATAATTGTAAATTAATTTAGCTTTTTAAAATAAAAAAAAATATGATACTTTAATAGAGTAAAAAAATATGTATCACTGCAAACTTAGTTCCTTTTTTTTCTTCGATATTTTCATATTCAGTAAACTTTTAAATAAAATGAAAACAAATGAATTATTAATTAATTCATTTGTTTAAACTTCCGAGCTTAAATTAAATTTTCTACTATTTGAAATTTAAATTTGTTAAATTTGTTATCACAAATTGGATGTATACATAATAATACATTTATTAATTAATTTTTTTTTTACACTTTTTCTCGAAAAAGATGTAAGTGATATTTTCATCTTTATATTTTATAATTTATAGATAAATTTAATTATTTTCTTACAGAAGTAAATTTACAGAAGGAAAATTAATAAAAGACAAAATATCAAATATACTTTAAGAGAGAAGGGGGAGAGAGAGAGAGAAAGAGAAAGAGAAAAGGAAAGACTTTAATTCAAAATCATTTATCGAACATATGTTTAGTTTAAGTATTCGTTAACTCATTCAAACACATTATAAAATCACATTAATATCGATTTCTCATATATTTTTTTTTTTTTTATTTTATTTATTTATTAAATTTAGTTTATTAGAATTGCATTGCTTCCGGAGTTTTTATTTACTTTATTTTCTTCTTTTTTTTTTCTTTTTGTTATTTCTTATTTTATAATTTCGAATTTTTGTTTCATTTTGTTTTGTTATACTTTTCTTTTTTTTTTAAAAATAAATTTTGCAATGATAAATTACGAAAATATGGTAGAATTTTTAATAAAATAACATACAATAATTCAAAAAAAAAAAAAACTTTCTCTCGTATATTCCTGAAACAAAATATTTCTGGATCATGCATATTTCCGGATTGAAAATAAACATGAAAAATTGATATTTATATAAATGCATGAAAGTTTTAGAAATTCAATAGATATATTCATTATTAATTAATAATTTATTAGCCATCAAATTTTTATTCTACCTTTTTTTTTTTTTTTTTTTTGAATTTTTTTAAAAGAAAAAAAAAAAAAAAAAGAGAAAGAAGCAAAAGTTCTCAATAATATAAATAACAAAACAATTTTGTAAAATTTAACTAATAATTTTAAAATTAACTCAATTTAGCAAAACAAAGTTATCATTTCAATGTTTTCAAGATTTTGAAATTAAAAGTCAAAGTTAGCTTATAAAAATAACAATAATATCAAATAGAAAACTAACGCAACTTGCAAAACAAAGCTATTAAAGTTATTATTTAAGCTTAAAGTTTTAGAATCAAAGTTAGTTTATCAAATGACAATGATATTAAGTAGAATATAAATTCCACATTGTTCAATTTAATTATGATTGAAAAAAAAAAAAGTTATTTTTTTCTTTTGCCAATATTAGTTGAAAAAAATTTAACAGCGAGAAATTCATCATTTCGATTTCAGAAGAATAAATTTTATTGATTAAAAATCTTTCATAAGAAATTACTATTTTCAACTACTATTTGTTTTTTTTTTTTTTTTTTTTCAAAGCAAAAGATAGAATTTAATAATTGGCATTCATCTATAAAAATGAAAGAGTTAGAATTGTTTCCGATTTTATTCTTCCGGAATTCGTCCAAATAAAAGTTATTTTTATTGTTGTTAAAGTTATAAAATAAAGAAAGCCAAAAAAAAAAAAAAAAAAAAAATCACCGGAAGTAATGAAATCCTAATAAAAGTAAATTGAAAAAATAAATATATGAAAAAATCAGAAATGAATTTCTTTTTTTAAAAATTAATTCTACAAAATTTAAATTTAAGTATAGATAAATTAACTGTATTGCTAATATTATTTCATAGTTATATTTGTTACAAATATTCCGGAAAACAAACTGAATGAGAAATTTATCTAATCACAGAATAATTTTATTGAATACAACAATTATTGACATCGAATGAACTAATCTCTCATTCTAACATTTAACTATTCTAAGATGAATTTTTCATTTTTAATTTTATAATTAAATTTAGTAAAAAGTTTTTTAAAAATTAAAATAACAAAACAAAAATATTTATCAAACCTATTTTTTGAAGCTTTCGTGTGACACTATCCAAACAATTATCGTTGCTATCCATCCTAATTGATTTTTGTAAATTATCACTTTCAACATCATTTAATGAAGTTGAATTATTTCGATTATCAAATTTTGTCTTTGATACAAATGATGGACGATTTGATGTTTTTGTTGTAAGCGAATCTGATTTTTCTGTTTTTCTATAAAACATATTTATACAATTAGTAATTAGAATTGAGAAAGAATTTATGTAAATAAAACAATTTAAAATTTAATAAAAATAAAATTTAATTTTATATGAATTTTTTTTTAATAAACTTTTTTTTTTTTTTTGTTTAAAAATGATTTCAAAAAAAAAAAGGAAGCAAACTTAAGCCATTTGTGATCATCATCACTTGAGGTAAATTCATTTGAACTTGATGATGAACCAGGTGTTGCACTCAATGATAATATCGATGGATTAATAAACTTTCGTTGTGGTGGCGGAGGTGGTGAACTACGACCTCCACTGAAACACCAACGCATTTTGGTGACACACACAGAGAGAGAGAGAGAGAGAGAGACAGTATCAATAAATTGATGGAAGAAGTTTTAATCTGTTCTTTTTCCTATAACCGATCGTCAAATGTGATAGCACAGAAATTGTCACCCAGATAAAAGCGCTCTTTGACGAGATAATATGATAAGAAAACGTTACCTATGGAATAGAGCAGAAATAATAATTTCAAATAATTCAACTTGTTAGTTATTTTTTTTAACCGCAAAAAAAAAAATATTTAAAAAAAGTTACTAATAATTTTAATATTAAAAAAAAAAATTGACAATAGTAATTAGTACTAATTGAAGTATTAATGCAAAGTAAATTTAAATTTAATACATTGACATTTGTTATTTCGATTATATTTTAAATTTGATAATTTTAATTTTAAATTTTTGAAAAATTCAAAGCAAAAAAAAAAAAAAAAGAAAAAGAAAAAGAAAAGATTTAATTAAATAATTTGATATCATATTTAAAATGTTTATTATGATATGAAATTTTTTTTTTTTTTTTTTTTTTTTTTTGTACGGAAGAAATTTAAATGATTAAAAATGAGATTTGATAAGAATGAAATGATAATTGTTTAATCATTTATATAAGTGAAAACAATGCTAAAAAATTAACAAATTTTGATAAAATTGAATATTATAATAAAGGAGAAAATTTGTATAATTAATTCAAAGATTAATTTAGTAATTTTAATTAATACAAATCTAAAATTTTATTTAAAATTATATTCATGATATTAATGGATAAAAAATATTGCAATAATGATAAAACAATTGATTGATAGATAGATATTACAATGATTACTATTTACTATTACTTTATAATATCATAAATTGTTTATTTCTTTCATTGTTTTTTTTTTTTTTCATTTAATTCAACTTACTTAATTAATATTAATAAATAAATTTAATAAAATAAATAGTAGATTAGAAGAAAATAATGAATGATTGAATGATTAGTAACAGATATAAAAAAGAAAAATAGATTATTAGAATATTTATCTTCTTTTATTTTCTGTTTATTTTTTTTTTTTTGTTCAAATAGAAAGTTATAATGTAATGATAATAATTTTTATGATAATAATGATAAAAGTTTTATTGATAACTATTTAATATGAAAGAATTATCAATTAATAAGAGACAAATTATTTGAAAATAAATTAAAATTTAAATGATAATTTCATTCTATAAAAAGAAAAAAGAAATAAAGAAATGAATAAAAAGAAAAATAAAAAATAAAAATAGCAAATCATTCTATCGATATATCTTCTTTTTCGTTTTTTCTCTCTCTCTCTCTCTCCCTCTCTCTGCCTCTCTCTCTCTCTCATTTTTTTCTTTTTATACAAATAAATAAAAGTATATATTGCACCTGAAAAAGATTCATCAATCAAAATGAATCATATTTTATATAGCATTTCTTTTTTTTTTTTTTTACTTTTACATTTTGGTTAAAAAACATTTTAAGCATTTTGTTTGATAATAAATAAGCATAAAATCAAATGAATAACAAATGACAATCATTGTCATCATTGTCATCGTTGTTATCATTGTCATTGTCATCTGTTATCATCGATTTGATGATATGAAAAAGGAATGAGAAGTACAATTGATGAATCATTGAAGTATGTTAATGTAGTGATAAAAGTGTTCATGTTTGATGTAAATAATATTATTAAAAAGTAAAGTAAAAATTAATTTTTATTTTAAAAATTTGATTTGATGTAATTTTGTAAATTATTACTTACTTAATACTTTTTTTTTTTTTTTTTTTAAATCAAATATACATTAAATAAATTGGTATATTGTTTAAATAAATAATAAATTGAATAAAATAATAGCATATTTAATCAATTTATCAATTATAGATTGATCGTTTATTAATTTGAAAAAAAAAAAAAAAATGGATTGTTGAAATAAGCAAATTGTGCAATAAGTATTTTAAGCTGAAGTTTTCGATTTAAGTAGCATAATTAAAGTACTTTAGGATTAAATCATTTTTTTTTTTTAGATAATTTAAAAAAAGAGGCAAGGAAAAAAATAATGAAATTTGTGGCAAAGAAAAGTAAAAAAAAAAAAAAATCCTTTTAATTTTTAAGAATATTTTTGATGAGTATACTTTTGATACTAAAATATAAGGAGAAGAATAAATTAGTAATTAATTTTAATTTGTAATAAACAGATGTCCTTGAATGTAATTTTAGATATATTTCGATGAAAAAAGGAAGTTATAAATAAGTAAACATTAGACATATATTTAATGGAATACATTACAAATATTAGAATAAGAATGTATTTAACTAATCATATTGATTGATTATCATTTCAAAAAGTTAAATTTAAAAAGGAATAAATCAGTAAAATTATGAGCGCAACTTGTTGAGAAGATTTTAAAGCTATAAATAATAATTTTAAAGCTATAAAAGATAAAGATAAGATAAGTTTTATCTCAAATTAAACTAATAATTCATAAGAAATTATCATATCATTATTTTAACATATCAATAATATGAAAATTATGAACAAATGCAATATGTTTATGTGTTCTTATTAAATTATTTATGTAATCTTTAAAAAAAAAAAAGAAATTTTTTTGAGTTCATTGCAACAAAAACATTAGCAATTTTTCAAATTAGAATTACGACTTACTTTAAATTATTACAATCAAAAAATTTTTATCTATCAAAAGAGAAAAAAAAGCGGAAAAATGTTGAAATTAAATGAGAGAAAATAATTGCTGTTTTTGTTAAAAGCTGAAAATAGCAAAATGCATTTGAGATAACACTGATAACGCGGTGATAAGAGATGGAATTATTTCAAAATGTTAGAAGGAAAAGATTGATTAATGATACTAAACCTTGTTTGACTATTTGAAAAGAGATTAATTGAAACAGACAAATGAGATTTTATAAAATGAAAATGAATTTACAAGAAAGGAAAAAATGAGATCATACATTGAATCGAATTTTTTATCACAAATTTTATTGCTGTGATATAGTAATAGTAATAGTAGTAATAATCAAAGATAATAAATAACAATATTAATAATAATAATAATAAACAATATTAAGATAATAGCAATAATGTATAATATAATAACGATAATATAATAGTAATGATAATGATAACAATAATAATAGTAATAAATAATGTTAGGATAATAGCAATAATGCGTAATATAATAATAATAATAATGATAATAATAATAATAATAATAATGATAAAAGTAATAATAATACGTAATATATAATATAATGCGTAATATAATAGTAATGATAATAATGATAACAGTAGTAATAATAATAATAATACGTAACATATAATATAATGCGTAATATAATAGTAATGATAATAATGATAACAGTAGTAATAATAATAATAATACGTAACATATAATATAATGCGTAATATAATAGTAATGATAATAATGATAATGATAATAATGATAATGATAACAATAATAATGGTAATGATAACAATAAGAGAGGAAAATATTTTGCTATAACAATGATATTAGAGCACAAAAACATTTTTAATATCTTTTATAAAAAGAAGAAAAAAAAGTGTGATTGAATGAGATGAAATGAAGGACGTAAAATGCTTTTGAAATATAAACTTTTCTCGCAATCACAAAACAATGATTACATTACGTGAATTTTTCATTTTCTTTTTTTTTTTTTGAAATAATTTTTTTCTTTTTTTTTTTAAAAAAATCTTTTGAAAGTTTTTCTTTCTCAAAGAAGAAAAAAAATAAAAGATAACAAAAGAGAGAGAGAGAGAGAAGATAAGAAATTGCATTTATTTTGAGAATAAAATCATTGATTTGGAAGAAATTATGCAAAATTTTGATATAAAACATTTCTGAATATATATTTTTGTATTCATACAATGATACTTTTTTCATTTATAAAAGAATCTAAGAAGGAAAATGGAGAGAGAGAGAAAGAGAGAGGGAAGAAGAGAAGGAGAGAAAAAAAAAACGGAGATAGAGGGTAAAAAAAAAAAAGTGACAAAGAAAATGGAATCAGCGACAAATCGGCGCTTTTGGTTCATTCCATTGCTAAGAGAAAAAAAAAGAAAAAAAAAAAAAGGTCGGAATGTTATTGTACAGAAATTATTGTCATCTTCTCTTTTACTGTCACTGTTGTGTACTTTTTAAGCAATCATAATGGAAAGGTTTTTGACCTGAATTTATATTTTGGTAAGACTGTCAATAAAATTTGCTACTACAATAACTTATTGTTTAAGAATGAAAGTTTTACTTAGATAAGTTTTCATTTATTAAATTGATAATTAAGCAATTTTAATATTTTATTGAATTTGTTTAGAAATTGAATATTTTTATAAATTTATGCATGAAATTTCAGCTAATTAAATGGCAAATTTTGATAATCCCCAAAAACTAATCAGTGAGTGAAAAATAGAATTAAAAATTTATATCTTATGCTATGTGATGAACATTTTAATTTATATAAATTAGTGACAAATTTGCTTTCAACTTTTTTTCTGGTGATTTGATTATCAGAGGGAGAGAAAGAGAGAGAGGGTGACTTGTTGTTAGGAGGAAAAGTTTTATCAAAGTTTTCATAAACTAAAAATAAAGTAATGAAAGAAAGAAAGAGAAAAGATATATGATTACTTTCTTATCAGTATTGACATGAAAGAAGAAAGAAATTATCAGTGCGAGATGAATTGCTGGATAAAATGAGTGATAGAAATCATATAGAAACTAATTTAATAATTTATCGTAATTAGTGGCGATGGTACTGTAAGTTGTGGTTGTATTTATTACTTTATTATACTTATATAATTATTTTATTTAAGTCATACTTTTACAAATAAGAGAAGAGAAAAGAAAAGAAAAGGACAAAATTATTTTCAATTATAAAATATTTAAAATATTTTATTTCAAAGTTTCTGTAACAAATGAAATCATATTCCAATTAAATTGTCATAGGGATAAGA